AAAACAATAATGCGCTAAATTGTTGACTTAGTGATGCAAATACAAGTATAATAAAACATTGTAAAACATTTCATAAGGAATTCAATTTACATTTCATTACAAGATTGTATACTTTACACATTGTTCGGTTTATATCACTTTATTTTTAATAGCCCAATGCATACTACTGAGAACTCTAGGTATTTGAGTACATTGAGGTTGTGCAATAATGCATATGGGTGTTCATTCGATTAAAACGGTGGCCGATCGAACCGAAATACCCTTAACCGAATTAACCAATTTTTTTTAAAAGTATTAACCGAACTGAATAAATTTCGGTTAATTCGGTTATTTTTCGAATTAACCATTTTTTTTTAGAATTTTAGAATTTAATATTTTTTAATTAAAAAACAATTTACAATTAATTATATAATGCCTAATTATAAATAATATCTAATTAATTTGATTCAAACATTTTGCATTTAGTTTTGAGATTATTTTAATTAATTATATTGATTTGGGTTTTAAATGGATTGAGCCGGCTAAGTCTCTTAATATAATTATATTTAAGGTTAATTCGGTTAATTAACCAATTTCGAACCGAATTAACCGTTAACCGGATTCAAAAAATCCTTAAATGTTCCCTGACCGTACTAATTCGGTGGCCGATCGAATTAACCGAACTAATTTGGTTCGGTCGGTTAATTCAGTTAAACCCAAATTTTGAACACCCCTACTAATGCAATCACCACTGCTCACATAATTTGCACCAAAGTGCCACATATTTGTCTCGAATGACCACATAGGTTTGTCCCGAAGGACCACATAGGTTTGTCCCGAAGGACCACATAGATTTGTCTCAAAGGACCACATAAAACCCTTGACTCTTGGCATGCCAACTATGTAACGCCCATAACCCGTATAATTATTCCAATACAGATTATAGATGTCACCCAAATTTCTAAAACTATTTACAATTTCAAAAGTGATTTAAAATTTATTTTCTTAAAATGGTAAATGATATTTTAAAAATATCATATCATATAATTTATATTTCGTAATAAGAAATTTAATTCAAAAGATTTTTTTATGAATATTGAACAGTAACAGTGACCAATGAACAGTGGGGTATCAATTCCCCTGTAACAGGGAACCAGTTCCCCTGTAGCAGTGAACAGTAACTGCTACAGTAACTTTCAAAAATTACATATAAAACTCATAAAAATCAACCTTTCATCAATATCAATTTACCAATTTGTTTCCAAATTAATTCAAAAAAACAAATTGAACATTATCAAATTACATGCCACTATCTAAGTCAAATTCCATCATAGGATGTCTTACTGATATTGAAATATACTCCTCGATGCTTGATCTCGTTCTAATTTCTTTATTCCACTACTGACTTTTTACCTACGCGTGAAAATCATCACACGCTAAGTATAAACTTAGTGAGACAATTAAAACAATAAACAATGCAATACAATTCATGCATGAATTTCAATGACAAATTCAAAATGCCATAAAATCATGTTATTTTCATATCCAATATTTTACTATGATCAAAATAATATAAAATATTTTACCATTTATCCCATAAGCTCGTAAGCTTATTTACCGATATACTTACCATTTGTCCATAAGCTCGTAAGCTTATTTTACCAATACACTTGTCATTATTCCATAACCATATACCATAGACAATAGCCCAATATACAACCCTGAGGACCCTGGGTACACGAGTCAAATATAAGCACCGTAGTGCTAATCCGTATGACACATAAGGTCGTGTCCACCATCTGTACTAGGTATCCTTAAGTACAGTCCCGTATGGCACATAAGGTCGTACCCACCATATACACTAGGTATCCTTTAGTGTATCCCGTATGTAGCCTGCTGCTGGACTCTATGGCATGCCAACTATACCCTGTCCCTCAATAACTAACTTGGGCATACAGTCTATTTTATTTGATTCATCCATGGCAAAGTATATTATCATAATTTAACATTGGGCAGTTCATACCCGAAATAATATCATGGTAAAATATCACAATTTCCATAATCAATGCATTATATTTTTCAACATTTGACATATTTAGAATATATCAAATATATGATAAATGACATAAATATCATGTCAACATAAACAAGGTCGACTTATCGCAAGTCTTCCTGATGATGTATAAAACATCCATGTATAACGTCATGCATGTATTGCACTCACCTTGACACTTTATATCTTTCAAAATATATGTGCCTCACTATTGTCCACAATAAACCCTTTTCTATTTAACTTGATTCGATCACAAATCAATCACGATCTGTATAATTCAAAAATTCATAACAATACATATGTTAGTTTTGTACTAACATAAACATATCCCAAAATATCTCCATAATATATTTGAAACTCATTATCTATCAAAATACTTATCTCTTAATAATTCCTTTTAACATTGGAACCAACTTTTCCAATTTACACAAAATGGTCATTCACCATTTTATCACTTACATTCTTAATACCAATAATTCCAACATTGAATTTATTTCCATTCAAATGCTTTTACAAAAGCATAATTATATTTAAGTACCCCAACTATACAAATGGTGTACTTAAATCACAAATCTTTTCAAACTTCCAAAATAGTCATTTTTCACATATAACACTCATTTAAATTCCCAATCAACAATTTCTAGCATAGTACATCAATTATACAACACTTATACAATAACCCATCAATTTTCCATATTCAGACAACTCACACTACCTTTAAAGGATCAGTATTATGTATTGATATACACACTGGAATTTAATTCTGTTTCTTCCGTTGAAAACTAGACTCGAATATAAATCTATCCATATAAAAAACTCCTTCTAATTCATTTTGTACAATTTATGGTGAATTTTCAAAGTTGACCAACATAATATGTTTTGCAGAATCTGTTGTCCGATTTTTCTGACCTTTCATTGGTTAAAAGTTCATATCTTTATGTACACACTTTGAAATTGATCCCCGTTTATTTAAAAAAAAAAACTAGATCGATATATGAACACAAATATATAAAAATAACCTCCAAATTATTTTTATATAATTTCTGGTGAATTTTCGAACCCACTGCTAATTTCAAAATATAAACTGTTTTCTTTAACCTCATCCTTAGGTTCTTCATCAATTCTTACAACCAATTCTTTAAAATCACTTAACTCTTCAAAACCCATAAAACACAAGAATCAACATCCCCTTCATCAACTCAAGATGAACTTGAACATGAACCCTAGTAATATTCATGTCAAAAATGTAGAGAATTGAACGTAGAATATTTTTTCTAATTACACTGAAGTCTAATTCTCAACAAGATTGCTTCAAAATTCAAAACAAGAATACCTACCTTGCAAGCTTGGGGTGTCGGTCTTGCATGAAGAAGAAGCTGAAAATGCTCATCAATGATTGATATTTTATGATATAATAGATCTAACACATGCTTAATAATATATCATAGAATTTTTTTATTCAACACCATAGGAAATTCCATTTTTGCCATTAATGAATCGCCATAATCACCATAAAACCAAGCCATCTGATCCTTATCATATTACAAAGTCAAATATAAATTAATTTGACTTTGACCTACGAAAATGCCATGAAATTTTCAAAACTTGCGTTTTAGTCACTAAATTCCACTGTTTCGGTTAAATCTGAAAAACTGCACATTTCCAAACCAAATTTCTCTGATCCAAAATATTAAAATAATATTTCCAACCAATTTATAACATCCTTCAAATTTTTGTAAAATTCCAATTCGATCTGAAATACCAATTTCCTTACCGGCTTTAACCCTTTCTAGTTTTTTTTACTAAAATTCCAAATCCAAAAATATGATTTCTATAAAACTCCACTCTCAAGAGTAAACCATCTATTTATGGAATAAAATTCTTTTTAGGAAATTATCACTTGATTCCCTAAACTTTTTCCCAATTTTCTACTTTGACCATCATACTTTCAAAATTTTCATTTTGGTCATTGTCTAAATTTTTGGGGTATTACAAACTATACCTCTAATTCTCATACATATACCTAGGGCTTTAACCACATAATTATTTCTCATTTCATTATTCAAATTGTGTCTTATTCTCATAGAGTACATTCACATATATAGGTCCCTTTCACGTCTATCACATTCGCTTAGCACATATATTATTCTTATATAAAACATAATCATATACATATATAATCAAAACAATACTTTGAAAAATACACTTTATCTAAAGCATAATAAAAATAATTGCATAAAATAAATAAATTGTTTTTGATCGAAAACTTCGAGGTTGACTTATATAAAACAAATTTGTTTTACGATCCAAATTTTCGTAAGTCCCATTTTCCTCTTGATATCGTATCGATAATAGCAAATGAGCAAACCAGCATGGTAACTACAGAAAAATCCAGCGAAACAAAAGATTCAAAGGCATATATTGATTTATAAACAACTGCACTCCGCACAGTCTGCTTTGCATTATAAATGATTATCATAGAACAAAAATGTTTTTTTATTAATGTTTCTTCAAGAATTAGTCAGTTGTATTTAAAATTTGAAATGCCATCTCTTTGATGTTTTCAAGTCAATAATTGATTGTTTAACCTACAAATGCTTGTTTGATTTGGTTAGTTGCTCAATGCATGAGCATTTAGGTTATTATTTTTGATTAAATCCTACTTAGACTCGTATAAAGATACAAGATGATATCTTGAAGTGGGTTGCCATGTTTTAAATTTTATGAATTCCCATCGAGAAAAGACGTCAGTTTAAACCCTATTTGGTTGAAATGGCTTAAGGAAGGTAACAATTTAGCGGTCTGTGAGATTTTCTCTTGAGGCAGTTTTCTGATAGAATCAGTTTCTGAATTGAACTTCGATTTATATTTATATACTTTTTCTCCCTCTTCGTCTTGCAGTCCGCTTGTTCAAATGCACAAAATCAAATACCATCGTACTCACTGGCCTTAGTGGGAGTGGAAAACTGTCCTTTACTATGTGGTATGCAGTGCCATTATTTGCGTTGTTCCTTTTGAAAGTCTTTCTGAGTTACTAAATTCTTCTAGAGATTGTCCTGTTATGGCTGCCGAATGTACAATAATAATTGAAATGCCTAGTTGTGCGGTGTTGTCATAACTCATAACTTTCTTCACATGATTTCCATGTCAGCTTCGTGATGGTTCCTTGCATCAGGGTACTGTTACATCCATGGAACCAAATGAGGGGACTTTCGTGCTGAACTCTGAAAGTAACAAGGTAATTCATCTTAACCTGCTTTTCTGGGTTTCGACTATGCTTTCTGTTTTTCTACAAGGCATATGGGTTAAGCCTCTTATTTCACTCTATTGTTACCGATTGCAATTTTCTGACCATTGTCCGAATTTTATCCGACACCACATCCTATTTTAATAAAAAAAAAAGAACTATTTTTAACAGAAGCGAAAAATCAAGCCCGTCCATCTTGTTGATGTTCCTGGGCATTCTCGTTTGCGGCCCAAACTGGATGACTTCTTGCCTCAAGCAGCTGGCATTGTGTTTGTTGTGGATGCTGTGGAGTTCTTACCAAATTGCTCTTCAGTTTCAGAGTAAGAATAGCTATGACTATGATAATGCACACACTACTCTTGCAAGTCTCTTCCTTCCACTTTCTGATTGCCAAGCAGAATTTTAAACACGACATTCGCTTTTGTGCAACAGATATCTGTATGATATTTTGACCAGGGCCTGTGTGGTCAAGAAGAAAATTCCAGTCCTCATCTGTTGCAACAAATCTGATAAAGTGACTGCACATACCAAGGAGTTCATCAGAAAGCAATTAGAAAAGGAAATGTCTGGCCTCAAGTTCAATTTTCTCTGCACGTTCTATGTTACTGTAATTATCGCAAAACCCTAGCCGATACTTTCAATAGATAGAAACTTGGGATATTCAACTTGCATGGACACAAAAATATGCATCTCTCTAGAACTTGTAGTCTTTTGCATATTTCATTTATTATTATATACTTAATCTGTCTGTTTTTTTTACCGTTTTATAGTGAGAAACTGAAGGCATCAAGAAGTGCAATATCGGCAGCTGATATTTCAAATGACTTCACTCTGGGAGTACCCGGAGAAGTATTCGCTTTCTCTCAGTGTAGAAACGCGGTTACCATTGTCGAAGCTTCTGGTTTGAAGGGTGAAATAGCACAAGTAGAACAGTTTATCAGGGAACATGTAAAGCCCTAAAGGCTAGAAACATTCTGATCTATTTTACTGTAGAACTCTCTTTAAACCTGGTTTGAGTATTTCATATTGAAGGCTGAAGGAACCCTGGAAAAACATTGAATCTGTAAGAAACGGGAGAGGAAAACTTCAATTCGAACTGTTTTAGATCTTTTATATCGTTTGGCAACTTACTTATTCATCTGTGTCAGTCAGAGAATGTAACCAGAAAATGATTTGATTCATGACTGCATTCCTCACAATGCAAGTTTTGTGGTTTCAATACACAGTTCTTTGCTCCATAAAGAAATGGTTACATCAGGCACTTCGGGTGTATTAAGCCTGTCTGAGCCGGACAAGGATTCTCTTGGATTCAGGTTCCATCGGAGACTTTTTCCAAAACCGAACCGGAGTCTGTTAAAGAGTTAAAACTGAAAATGTATCTAGCTAATGCAGTTCTTTCTTTCCTTCATTTTTTCTCTCAGAAATACAATTGCTGGCAAAGATAAAATTAGAACAATTATCCATGTATAGAGTTTAATGGAAATAGCATGGCAGATGGAAGAATCAAAATCATGATAATGGCAATTCATCGGTTCACCAGTAATCTCTACAAGAACAAGTTCCGTCTTTAAAATGGTGGAACCGATTACGATCTCTTACGATAATTTCTCGTTCGTAAATGATCGATATTAGTTTGGTATACGTATGACAGTCGTTGCACATCCTTAGATTTCTAGCTATTCTTATAGGAATGCACTGAGTCGTTCGGATGAGCGCAAATGCAATGGCTAGCTTCTGACTATGGCCTTTCAATCTCTGTCTCTTCTCTTCTTCATCTACATCCAGCAATACCTGAGATGTGTCTGGGGTATAACCTTCAAATTTCAGCTGCCACTCCATCTGGTGAATCATCTCGTAGATGCTTTTGCATCGAGGAAGCGACGTATCTTGCGAGACAAACTTGTGGATTCTTCTCCCGACCTCGACCAAGCTGAATCCCGGCACCTGGTTTAAACCTTTTCTAGCCATTTCCATCCGAACTTTAGCTACCTCTGGCCACTTTTCAGCTCGTGCATACATATTCGACAGTATCACATAGTCACCGGGATTTTGCGAGTTCAACTGGAATAGATGCTTAGCTGCAATCTCTCCAATTTCCAGGTTACAATGAACTCTACAAGCACTGAGAAGGCTTCTCCAGACCACATCATTGGGCTCGATAGACATGCTGTTGATGAACTCAAGAGCTTCATTGATCATCCCAGCTTTTCCCATAAGGTCTACCATGCAACCATAATGTTGAACAGTTGGTTCTATTCCATGCCCAGATTTCATTCTATCGAAGCACTCGAAGCCCTCATCAACAAGGCCAGCGTGACTGCAAGCACTTAATACGCCCACATAGACGACATCGTCCGGTTCAAGACCTTCTTCAAACATCATTGAATATATCCTTAGAGCTTCTTCACCATGCCCATGCATGGCAAGCCCTGAAATCATTACAGTATAGGACATCTGGTTCCTTTTGGCCATCCTATGAAAGAGTGATAATCCATTCTCTAAACACCCGCACTTGACGTACATGTCGATCAAGGAAGTTTGAACTGTAACATTGAGTTCACTAATGTTCCTCAGTAAGGCACCATGGGCGCATTTCCCCGAATCCAGAGCACTCAAGTGAGTACAAGCAGAGATCACAGTGACCAGTGTGCTTTCTTCAGGCCTCCAACATCCCTCACTACTCATCTTCCCAAATACCATCAAACACTCATTCCACATCCCCAAACAAGCATTTGCTGCAATAATAGCACTCCAAGAAGCAACAGTCTTTTCATCTGTTTGCTCAAAAACTGCACTAGCATCCTCTATGTGCCCACATTTGCCATACATATTGATCAAGCTGTTTTGCACATACACATCATTTTCAAACCCAAGCTTAAATGCATGCCCATGAATTTGCATCCCTTCCTCTTTTGCCTTCAACCAGGCACAAGCCTTGAAAAGTGCAGGATAAGTGAAATTATCAGGCTCAACTCCTCTGTCAAGCATCTCACAATAATAACCTAAAGCTTCCCCAAAGTTCATATCTTTGACATAAGCTCTAATCATGGTATTGAATTCGAAAGTACCCGGATCATCGATTCGTCGAAAAATCGAACAAGCATAGTCCATGCTACCCCAATATGAGAGAGCACATGCAACCACCAGATTGCTTGCAGAAAAGGAGTTCCAAAAGAAACCCCACTTGACAGTATGGGCATGAGCTTGCTTGAATTCTTCCATGCTCTTGCAGCTCTTGAGGAGAGATAAGCAGTGTTGCTCCTTCAACCTCAAACTGAAGTCTGAGCTTTGTGATGGATCTACAGAAGGTGAAAAGAAGTTGGTTCGCTGAAGGATTGAAGTCCCAGCCATACTGTTAATCTACATCATGATTCACCAATCTAAACTGCCATTTGGGAATAACATGAAGACCATGATACGACAAAAGGGTGAAATTTATGACCTTTGGAGTGTGCAAGTAGATTGGCAAAAGAAGTGTCAAAAGAAATTGACATTATAGTATGCAGTTGGACTAAAACCAGAGGAGAAGTGAATTGCAACAGCAGGTTTGGAAGCAGTGTGAGAAGAAGAGATGGTGTAATGAGATTGAATGTGATCCATGGGATTGAGAAGAGAATCCCAGCCAGGAAAGCAAATGTCAGATTATGGGAGGAGTAGATTCTGGATAGGATAATGTTGAGGGAGAGCTTGGCTTCATTAGATAGGTAATAGGTTCCTTGTTGGAGTTTTTGAGGGCGAATCATATCTGGCCATCTCAGCCAAGTAAAACAAAAACCACAAGTCCAAAGAAATGAAGTTCCTATAAGGCCTATGAAATATCAACAAGTTGCAGAAGGTAGATGATTGGATCTTTAATGCACAAAGGTAAGCCCATTTATTAGTAGAGGGTAATAAATATCACCAAGGCTTGATGTGCTGGAGTTCTAAGAACCCATCAAACCTTTCTCCAACCCAAGCCCATTTATATACACACTTTTTTATTGTCCTCCCGGTTCTAAGGTTTTGATTTGACTAATCCAAGCCGACCCGTGTCGCAAACCTGACTTGATAGGTGAGTCTTCCAGCAAGGATTTTTTATGTACACACGGATTCGTACTCGATACCTTATTTAAACGATATCTAGTTTTTTATGGCTCCATGAGACACTATTGCAACCGAGTTCTACGGTAACTGGCAACCGCGACGAATGACGACCAACGAAGTGAATTTTAATTAAATTTTTAGATCAAGTTAATGTTTTATATAAAATTTAAAATTAATTTAATATTTTATTTAAAATTTAGTCGTGGAGTTGAAACTTAACAAATTTTACGACAACCTAATGATCAAAATAAGGCTAAACCCAAGATATAAAGGACAACTGAACTCCACCAACCATAATAAAATCATTGGCTTGTTGGATTGAGCGCTGTCCCAACATGGCCCATTGTACTATGATCTCTGGATCCACATTTTTCATGCCCACACAAACATAGGGGACAGAATCTATCGCACTCTTTAAAAAGGCGCGTGATCTATTATAAATATTTATTTTTTTATTAATCCTAAGTATTTACAGAATATTATTGTTGAAAAGTTTTTAATAATGAGCATTTAAACACACTTATAAATATATGTTTGAACATAGGACTTCTAAAAATAACAATCTATCACCTTAGCGATAGTTCGTAAAACATAAATTTCTTACTCGTATGGTTCCGCATCATTTACAATCCACGCAGAGATACAACACACATTCAGAAGGAAACAACTACTACACAAAATCCTACAAGCTGCTGCAACTGTAAAACAAAAAATAAACAGAAAAGAAGAAACTTGGGCCCACATTTCTCTCCTTGTCTGCAGTGTTTCATCATTCACTCTACAAATGGTGAATGTGTTGTAGTGCAGTCCCTTTTTCTTTCAGAGAGGCTTTTAAGGACTTATTTCATCTGTTCTTTTGAGTTATTCAAAGCACAGAAACGAAACAATTTCCGAGGGTTTCCTCCTCCCCCTCTGAGATTTATTTCAGGTATCTTTTCCTCTCTTCACTTTCTTCTAGTGTATTTCCCACCTTTGCTTCCTTCTCCTATCATTTTCTCTTTTGTTTCTGTGCCGTTTGAATCAAGCTATGTTTGATGTATGTTTGTTTGATTGACCCTTCTGTTTCTTGAAGCTTCAGTGGCTAACATATCACTGGCTGCCTGCTAATGTTCTTCATTGCAGACTTGTTCAATTTTTGTTATTTTTAGTTGGAAAGTCTTGCTATTGAATAAGTTCACATGAAGCTTGAAACGTCTACTGTTTGACCACTACTGAATTCAATCATATTTTTCTTAAAGTTGAAATCTTACCATTTGACCATCATTTATATCAATTTCTAGGGCTTTAGGATATTCTTGGTAAAAGTCTTCTCTTGGCATACTTTAAAAAATGGATTTTTCCTTTATTTTCTCTTGGCTGACTGCCAATTGTTTCAGTTATTTATCTTTTATAAAGCGTCGGTTGTTTAATCTATATATGGGTCTCTTTTTTTAATCAAATTATGTCTGTATGTCATGGTCAGTTCTTGAACAACTGAATTTGCTTTATTTCATTTAATTTGGGTCAAATGATTGATCTTTTCCAATTTATCCTTTCAAAATTGAAGGCTTCCTTGTATGTTGAATTCTGGCTGCTTGTTGACTATTTTACGAAGGACCTTAAAATGATTCATTGTTCTGATGATTGCTTTCCAGGTACTTTGAGCTTGTTCAAGCATTTCTCTAGATGCTACAGAGTATGGTGTGTTCGACATGGGTGATACCTAAGAAGTTGCACTTTGAACCTCTAGCCCGACATATAGATTTTCGGCATTACATCTGAATAAATGGAGCAAAAGCAGGGTGAGAGTTGGAAAAAAGTGGTCGGGAAGATGTTTTCACCTGGTGCTTCACTACCTGAAGATTCATTCAAGCTTGATTACTCGATAGCAATGGAGTATATGGGTCCTCCAGTTGCTTATGAGGTACCTAGAGTTCAGCCTCTTGATGTAAATTCCCATGCCATGCCTACTGCAGAAGCACTATCACAGTCCAAAAGGTCAGTTGCTAATGCTGCTCCCCCGGTGATTGAGCCAATCCCCTTGTCAGTGTCTTACATTGCTGGTGTCACAAGTCCGCGTACTCAGAGTCCAAGGCTTTCGTCAAGCTCCGAGTCCGTAGTGTCTGTGTTGCAAAATCTCGATTTTTCTTCAGCTTCTCTCGGCTCAGCTGGCAACCCTCCAAGTAATTATCCTAAACGACTTGTTAACGAAGGAAAGAGAGTTCCAGTTGTTACATTCAATACTGTTGATAAGTCAGAAGGGAAAGATGTGGATATGAATAAGAGAGTTTTTCCTGGATATGTTGGTGTTTCAACAGGAAAGAAGAAGAAAAGAGTTTGCTATCGTTGTGGTAAGAGAAGATGGGAAACGAAGGAATCTTGTCTGGCTTGTGATGCTAAGTATTGCAACAATTGTGTGCTAAGGGCTATGGGCTCGATGCCTGAAGGACGAAAATGCGTGACATGCATTGGCCAGCCCATTGATGAATCAAAGCGGTTAAGGTTAGGTAAACATTCTAGGCTCTTGTCTAGATTACTCAGTCCCTTGGAGGTGAAGCAGATTATGAAAGCGGAGAAAGAATGTTCTGCTAACCAGCTCCGGCCGGAGCAGCTAATTGTGAATGGATATCCACTGAAGCCTGAAGAGATGGCTGAATTACTTGGATGCTCTTTACCTCCTATGAAGTTGAAGCCTGGAAGATACTGGTATGACAAGGAATCTGGTCTCTGGGGAAAGGTAAGTTTGTATTCACAATATGCTATTTTATGTTTCAAATGGCTATTCTAATCGAACAAGCAAGCAGAGGAACATCTAGAATATAGTGACTTGATTGATTTGACCATCTCTTCTTATCGAATTGGCAGGAGGGAGAAAAACCAGATCGGGTCATCAGTTCAAACCTAAACTTCACAGGCAAGCTTAATCTTGATGCAAGCAATGGCAATACTGAAGTCTATATCAATGGAAGGGAAATTACAAAACTTGAATCGAGGGTGCTAAAGGTAGCAAATATAAAAGTTAATACAGGATCTATTATTAATGGCCATTGATCATTGTTTCTATTTTTTTCCTCTGTTTCATTGCATACATTTAGGATTCTCATTCTTATGCTCTTGTGAGGCATAACCAGTTAGAAGTAACAGATTCCTTTTACAAAACTCATTAACACTTTAGTTTCCTTTATTATGGCTTTCCTTTAGACATCTTAATGTATGTTTAACTTTAGCATCTGATAAAAACGTGAATGGGAATGATACATGATATCAAATGCACGTCATCATATTGTATTAAACTAATCATGATGTATCCTTTTGATGTGTTCAGTTGGCAAATGTGCAGTGTCCTCGTGACACTCATTTTTGGGTCTATGATGATGGTCGTTATGAGGAAGAAGGTCAGAATAACATTAGAGGAAGCATCTGGGAAAAGGTATGTAAATTTCTAGCAGACTCAATAGTACCATGGTTATTATAATTATACGGTGATGCGGATTTGGTTTCTACAATACAGGCATCGACTCGTTTTGTCTGTACCTTGTTTTCTTTGCCTGTGCCCCATGGCCAACCTCAAGGAGCGAGAGAGGAGGCTAGCAATTATGCTACAGTTCCAAATTACCTAGAGCAAAAACAAACCCATAAGCTTCTTCTACTCGGGCTTCACGGCTCTGGAACAAGCACCATCTTCAAGCAGGTTTGGCATTTTCTTGTTGCTATTAAGACTAGTTTTTTCTAATAATTATCCTCTACATTGTCATACCAATAGCTTTAAGATGCACTTAGAATGAAAGTAAGGTCACTAAAAACATTTATACACAGGGACGGACGTAGGATTTAATGTTGGGGAGCGAACTAAAATTCTAGAGGGCCGAAAACAGATTTTCAATAGAAAATATATAGAAAAAAAAATCTAAAATATATGGTAATTTTAAATTTTTCGGAAGTTGGCAAGAATATCTTGCTTGAGCATGAAGAATGTATGTCATTCCAATTTTTTAGTAGACGAGGAATAATTAAGGTGATTAGGAAGCTTTAAATTGTGGATATGCATTTAGTTCAACTCCATCAATGCTTTCAATGGAGCGGGCTGAATGTATAATTGGGATCATATGAATCAAATTATCTGAAATTTTGTTTTCCTTTATGTTTTCTTGGTCTAGGAAAAATTGATGCGTAGTTGATGACTAGTCTGCACAGTTTTAAATTGCAGTTGATTTCATTTTATCTAATGTTCACTATGCATTATTGAACAGACGAAATTTTTGTATGGAAATGGGTTTTCTGCTGAAGAACTGCAGGAACTGAAGTTGATGATCCAGAGAAATATGTACAGTTACCTTAGCATATTACTGGATGGACGGGAGCGGTTTGAGGAGGAAGCAACGTCTGGAACACGAGAACTAGCTGCCGCCGATCACAACTCTGAAGGTGTATTGTGTATATGCTTGTTTTATAAAAGCTATCCATGTGATGATGCTTCTAAGATCACCCAGAGCTGTCAAAAAAACATAAATCAAAATAATTGCAACTCTTTCAACATGTAAACAATACTTTAATCTTGTTTTAGGAAGGGAGGTTGATTCTGGTGAAACTA